ACTACTACTACTACTACTACTACTACTACTACTACTACTACTACTACGACTACGACTACGACTACGACTACGACGAGTACTCCCGTCATCACCCAAGCCAAGCCCCTCAGAATAAAGTTCCTGCGCGAGGTGGAACTAACGAGGCGAGGCAATATTTTCCAAACCGTATATAACGAGGCGAGGTGCTAAACCCCGGGATGCGAATTCCAAAACGAGGTAGACGAGGTAAGAATTAATATAATTTGCACAGTTTTTTGTTGGTGGCGTCCATCTTGAGTTAGGGCTGAAATATGCTGACCCCCCACGAAAATGTCCAAAGCCAGCTTCAAACCGATGGGATTTCGGCCCGTCCCGTGCCTCTGCCCCTTACCTACGACCGCACGACGGCAGTGCGACCAACTCCAGAGCAGCAATGGATTCTCCAGGCGCTGCAGCGGAGGGGCTTGGGAAGCGACTTGTTGAAGAGGATCCTGGAGAAGCTCCGGAAGGATGGAATGGGCCGGTGGCGGATGGATGGCGGATGGATGGCGGATGGATGGCGGGGAGGTCCTAGGAGGTGCCGGTCCATCTGGTGCTGGTCCGGCAGTTGTGGAAGTTCCATTCAGGCTATCATGACATTGGTAGGTGATAGTAGGAGTGACATTTGGTTGGATTTTACTGGGAGTCTAGCATTAGACAGTGCCGACAGTGTACCATCGGCTCTGCGGTTTGGGAAACGATGTTCTTCGGCCGTCCACCTATAGAGAAGATGATGACTTTGGGGAAGTTGTTTGAAGCTTGCAGCTTGGATGATATTATGATATTATGGTCGTTTCATGTCGTTTTGGACGGTCTCATTCAGTTTCTACCACTCACGTCACTTCTTCCACATGGGTCGTGTGCCCCCGCGTTGTGATCTCTCCGGCGAAACACATGCGTCAGACCCGCTGACGGGTCAGCAGCGCAGCGGTCAGGAGAGGGTGGACGCTGTGGGCGCGTGTTTCGGGCTAAAGCCTTGGCTTCTGAAGCTTTGGCGCAGGTCGGCCAACACCAGGCCCGGCGGTGATGTTTTTTTTTCTTTCAGGCAATGCGAGCAGTTGCTGAGCACTGAAGCTGAGCAGTTGCTGAGCACTAAATACCCCAGACCCCAAAAAAGCATCCTCATTTGATGGCACTTGTCCATTTCTTTATATTCTACTCGCATCCCACCATAGATATTGTGGGTGCCTTGGAGGAGTGTGTTTCTGCATTTTCCACTTGCGAACCAGTGACTTGTGGGGCACGCATGGAGCTGGAGCCACAGATGCAGGCTGGTGTGGATTGCTCATGGGAGTGAGCCCAGTAGTGGGCATCACAGTGTGCTTTGGCTGGCTTTTGAGGTTGGTCGCAGGAGATTTTCTTTGCCAAGCAAGATATAGAGTTGTTTTGGATTAGCATCAGGGTGATACTGGTAGTATGGGCATGGCACTCGCTTTGTACATTGCCATCATGGCTGTACCAGCACCCACTCCCACTTGTGCAAGGATTATGTGTTTGCCATGAAGACAGGAGCAAACCTGCAGATCTTCAACGTTTCAGGTCGTTCAAGGGTTCAGGTTTTCGAGGCTTCCAAAGTACGTTTCAGACACCGAGAGACTTGAAGACATGTTTTTAATTCTCATCGTCGTTACTTCCGATGAGCGCGAATGGAGAAATATCGGCATTCCTGTCGTGATTGGGCTGTTTTGGGTGAACGACTCACACACTCTCCAGTGTTGGCTTTGTTTTCCCCAGCTCGAGTGGCATGCGTGACTCCACTCAGGAGATTCTATAGGTAAAAAGGGGCGATGCAACCCAGCGTAGCTGTGAGCCACCCGTCAATGTACCATGACATACCTTTTGTGACCACCCATGGACAAAATATAGAGGAGGAAGGGGACAACCCAATCTAGCGTTTGTAAGCCACCTGAGGGTAAAATTTTGAGCAGGCAGGTCTCATTCCAACATAAAATACATTGTCCCAGAGGTTAAGGTTTAGAGGAGGAAGGTGCCATTCCAATGTAGCATACCTTATGTGCCATGGGGTGCAATTTAGCCAAGGAAGTGCCATTCCAATGTCACTCGAGGGTAAGATTATGGCGGACAGAACCCGTTCCAACATACAACGCCGTATACCTTTTGTGAGCCTCCCGAGGGTAAGATTTCGAGGAGGAAGGAACCGTTCCAACGTAGGTGACACCTTTTGTGAGCCACCCCACATTAAAATTAGAGGAGGAAGGGGCCATGCCAATCAACGCTGCAAGCTGTTTGTTCGGAGGAGCTGGTGATGTTCCAGCATCCAATCTTTTTGTTCATACTTCGAAGTGTCAAAATTGAAGACGCCTAAGCAGGCCATGGTATGGCACCTCAAGTAGGACTTTCGGCAAGGGCAAGTGCCCATCGTCTACTGAACACTTGTGATTTAAAGGCCACTGGTAGCAGCACCACGTTTGTGGTAGTGGTGATGTCCCGGACGGCGCCCCGTTCTGGTCTTCCTGGAGAGTGAACCTTGCACCCTCCAGGGTCGGTTTGGTCGTTGGTACGTCAATTCTTGATGAGTATGATGGCGATGATAGGGACAAAACCTCAAAAAAGACATGATCAACGGATCAAACTGCGTTTTGTTGCATGTGTGTGTTTTCCAAGATGTTCTGTTCTTGGGTCCCTTAGGCCTCTGAAACCAACAAAACATCTTTCGCTGAAAGGGTCTCCTTGTTGCCCAACACTTCTGCCGAGGCCACGGTCTTGGAGCCCTTGAGCACCCGCTGCATCCGAGTGGTCGAACGCCTACAGGCACTTTGCCAGCGGCAAGTCTATATCTGAAACCAGGATTTAGGCTATATAATTTTGACCACTTTAGGCTACATATTATGGGTCCTAGTTGTTTCATGTTTTTTCGATGTGTGTTTTGGAAAGTCTTCACATTGTCTTCACATGTTTTGTTGTTTTTCTGGGCCAGGAACGTTTAGCCTTGCAAATGCCTGAGTTGCTGCTGGGTCCACTGCAGCATTTGGATCTGGAGACGCCTGCGGGGCCCAGTTCGAACTGAGCTCACGAGCTCGACGCGTGGTCGGTGCCCAACCCACCCAGACATGACCAACCGGACTGGAATATATGCTGTACCTGGATCTTCCAACGACATGCCAGATGTCTGCCTTTGGGATCCTAGGAAGGCTGATTTTTCTTGGATGAGACCTTCATGCATTTGTCATAGTTGGAAGATCCAGGTAGGCCCCACCTCAACTGATCCCCGGGTCAACCACCCTCAACCGATGGATGGTATAAACATGTTGCTTTTCCCATGTTTTTCATGTAGTCACAATTTACCACTAAGAAGCTGAATCGTCGTCTCAGAGGGGATGGAAGGACACCATTTGGTTATATTTGGTCAAATGTCTAACAGTCATTTCCACACTTTACAAGCACCACAAATGTTAACTCAGAGTCCCTAGGGTCCCGCGTGCTTCTTTGTTTTCCTTTCGAACCACCGCCCACCGATGGATCATGATGGATCTGTGCCCCAACGAACTTCGATCTTCCGCCGCCTGGTTCGGTGTTTCACTGCATGTTGGAGCCCTGCAACTCCAGTTTTTCAGCTCCAAGATGCCACCGTGCCACCTTGCCTTCATCCATCTCCATCCAGCCTTGGACATGCCTTGGACATGCTCGGGTACGCTTCCCGTCCCAACTCGTCCCCCCCGGTCGCTTCGGTCGCTTCGCTTCTTCTCCTCACTTGGTCGATGGTCCTCACCCTGCCGGTCGCTGGTCGAGTGTTCCAACTCCAAGGGTGGCAGCAGTGATGGCAGCACTGCCCCCTCTGCCCCCTTCGCCCTTCCGGGCGCAGGACGCCGATATCGGAACGGACGAAGCCACGGTACAAACGACCCCAAAACCCACGGTGTCGGACCCTGCATGAAGATGGGAAAGGAGAGGAGAAAATGATTTGTACGCTGCAGGTGAACTCCCGCGTTCCTCCATGACTTCTGCAACTCGGTGGACATGTGAACTGAACAGTGATCTGGATCCCTACAGAAACCTCAGAAGGTACTTGGACCCTCCTGCGCCTATACATCAATCAGACACGCCCTGCTGGGCTTTCGAAACTCGCCCTCGTTTCGATCGCAGGATGCGGAGGACGTGCGGAGCTTCGCCTTTGGTGCGTGGCGTTGGCTGCAGACCGGCGTCGCCGTTTCGCCGAGACCGGCTGTTTCGACGTTTCACGAGCGGTCTGCCGAGAGCGGCTTCAGTCGGTCTTTGTTCGGTCCGTTCCCTGAAGAAGCCCAGTACATCCAAAGACGATGGAAGCAGCAAATTCAGTTGATTTCCGAAAGCTCCCCAACAGGGCGATTCTGTTCCTGTGACTATGTGGGGGTAACATTGAATTGGAAATTGTTGAGCTGGTGTTGATCCAGATTCAGACAGCACTTGGGTGGTTGTTGAAAGATTGATGGACAAGACATGACGACGAACCTATCAAGAACCTATCAGTCTGAAAAAGACTACAATAAGTAGTTTGACTAAAGTCTTCTGCCTATAAACACTATATATGTTTCCTTCTATCAAGAACCTTTAGTCTTATCGTTTTTTTGCTTACAATTCGTTTTTTTTGCAGGTCGCAGTGCCATGACGACTCGCTTCCGAGAAAAAACATCGCTTCCTTGCGCCTCGCCTCCGATGCGAGCCTCCGAGGCGGAACCTCTCCTGCTGCCGCTTCGCCTTGGCAAGGCTCTGCAAACGAACATGCCAGCTAAGAAGAAGCTACGCACGTAACAAAGGGCATCGCTACGAGGACGCTACTAGGTAGCTCCTGGCATTACTACTGGTAACAAGGCATCGCTACTAGTAGCTCCTAGCTGGCATTACTACTATATATATATAGGAACAAGAAGCTACTAGGTTGGAGGCCATAGCTAGTAGTAAGACTGGTGACTGGGAGATTGGATGGATCATGATCAGAATATGATGGATCATGATGCCAACAGTGGAAAGACACACAAGCCGCAAGCCAATAGAAATTATTGGACTTGCTGTGTTTTTGGAGTGTTTTGTCATGCTGATTTGTGTTCATTCGTGTTCCTTTTTCTTCCAGCTTCAAAACGTTGGGTGGCTAAGATGTACACTCCCCGAACTAATCATGGAAGTGGATGGCATGCCCCCTTGGACCATTGGATAATAATTTTCCTCCGCAAACGGATGGTGAACTCTACTTCCAGGTCCAGGTTTCTTAACTTGGTGGGAGACCACTACTTGGTACCAATGAAGACTCGTGGTCTAGTTCCCTGTTGGTGTTTGAGCAAGCTCCCAACCGAACCATCCGGCCGGGCATAGGGCTGTCCTGGCTGCTTTGCGCGTTCCAAGGGCCAGGCGGGCGAGCTTTCGGCAAAGACTTTTGTCGGCAAACAACAAACAATTAAATGCTTTACATATTGATATTTTAATATATTTTAAATATCGATAATCAAGTGCGGAGTCCCTTTGGAGCTGGGAGTTGTTCACTGAGTCGTTCTTGTTTTGACATGACTTTGGTGTGATTTGTCAAGAAGCATTCAGTGTCGCAATGTCCACATGGTGTACGCACGATCCGAGTACCGTGGTGCTTAAAACCAGCTGTTCTTTGAAGCTGGGTGGGTTCCGGGATGTCAAGAATGCTGCTATTCAATATCTTCAATATAGATATACCCGTCAAAGACCCTGGAGATGGTCACACAAAACCAATACTTAAGGAGGTAAAGACAATAACCCCAAGTCCCGAAAAAGGAGGCCTCGGCCTGGGAATGAGGCTCGATCTGCAGAGAAATGGTTGTCTTTGTCTCCATGGTATTGACCCATTTATTCCCCACATCCTTAACCTCCGCATCATGCTCCTCAAAAACCATTTCCTCTTTATACAGAGGTGGCCGCCCACTCGCGAACACTGCCCTTTCCTTCTTCCATCTTCTTCCCCTTCACTCCTCACCTTCGCACATCTTGGCCTTCCACGGATCGCTTCGAGGTTAGCGGATCGCTTCGAGGATGCCCTCCTGGATATGTTGGGAGCTCCTGGTATCGACTCTGAATCCATCTCCGGACTGGTCGACTCACGGACTGGATCGCACCACTTGTGGAGGGGGGCCAGCCGACTTGTTCTGATAAAGGCCGGGTGTCCCTCATCCCACTTGCTCAAGAGCTCAACTGGGAAGAGATGATCCTCACTGGTCCAGGGCCCAGGTTGCAGGGTGTCAGAACTTTCCTGTGGGAGTCTGTGGGATTCTTGATCATCTTGGACGTGGTATTTCTGGGGCCAAACACCTTGTGGACCTTGCGTTCACCGGTGCAAAAGAAGCTCGTTTCACCACATGTTTGGTTTCTGTAGGGTTAAACTGTCTGTTTCGGACACTTTCAAGCAAAACCTCAGCAGTGCTGGTGTGTTGAGTCTTTCCAACAGAGGTGGGTCAGAACCCGAGTGTTCGACTATCCCATAGGTACCCCAGGTGACGGGCCCTATAAGGTCACCTCTCTTGGTTTGTGCAGCCTGGTCACGATCTTCGTCCCAGGCTGCAGGGACGCGAAGCCAACGACTCCATCCTGCGGCAGGCGGTATGTGCGGACAGCGGGTGTCGTGCGCGGTTTTGTGGGGGTAGGGCGGAAGCGGGCGAACAAAGAGAGCGGGTGGATGTGGTGGGGGGTAAATCAGGTTGGTGGATTCCGATGATTAGTATTGATGAGGGACATATCATTCTCTAATATATAGACCAATTATAGACCTAGTAGAGGGATATAGACGGTTGATTCATAACCTCCCCCATTTGGTTTTGTTATAGTCAACGGTCTACAAAGCTCTCTGCAGCTCCAATAGCGAGGGGTGAAACCGAGAAGCTCAACGTGACCCATTTCTGGTTTCGTCTACCGATCCCTACCGATCCACACATGACCCAACATGACAACATGACCCACCGCAAGGGGGGCAGCTGGAGGTTGAAGCATCTTTGGGCTTCTTGATGATATCAAGTCATCTCCCAGAAGTCGAACATGAGCACAAGAAGAATCGGTCGGACAGAACACGATGATGCGATGTCGGACATCTGTACCCGCACACTGCATGGCCAAGTATTATACTAGTTTGGTGATCAGGAGGGAGCTCCATATGACGTCGTACCCTTTCAACAGGGAGCAAAGGAGCTACAGGGAGTTCCCCAACCACTTCCTAGGGCCAACCCGCATGGTGCCCACGAAGCTCTAGGCCATCCGACAGCTGATTGCAGATGATGGGACGACCTTGAAGGGTGGTGAGGGTGAAAAGGAGCCGGTGCCAGAGGACAGCAGGTAGAGCCACATGGACAAGGAAGAAGTATGAAGAAGCACGAAATGTCGCAGCAAGATATAACATAGATCAGACGTTTAAGCATGGATGTGTGATTTAGAATGATTTAGATGATATAGATGCTTTGCAGATGTCAGTTTGGATTGAAAGCAAGTGACAGTCATGCCTGGCTTTTCAGATGCTTCAGCCCAATCTTCGGCACCCTTTGGCTCGGATTTGGGTCACGCATGGCAGATTTTATATTTAGACCCTCGGCTCAAGAGAGATGCTCAAATTGCTGCTTTTTCTGTACTTGTTGGATGACTTGATTGAGAGTTGACTAGTCCCTAGTGCTGATGGACTAGTCTTCCCGCAGCACTGGGCAAAAACTCTAGGTCTCCCCTATTTCGATTGGCGTTGACACTGGATTGATAATCTCCCATATTTTGGGGGGTCCAGGCATCAACGGGTGTATGTTGCATTGTTGAGAAGGCTAAACTGGAGGGTTTTTGCGCATCACCCCTAAAGGGTCGATGGCGAGGAACCACCCGAATCACCGAAAGCTGCTCAAATGGAGCACCTGAAGACTGCACACTGCCGAAGCTGAAAACCGCACCAACCGCACCTGGGCACCTGGTTCTAAGCTCTGAAAAGATTTGACACTCAAAAAGGCCCATGCAGCCACCACCGAAGAGAAGTTTGTTTCATGGTTGTTTTTCATGTTTTCTTATTTTCCGCCTCCAGTCAGCGACCCGCCGGATCCCCAAAGGTCGTCAGGAGGCTCGTCAGGTCTTGTTCATCGATCCCAGACAGGTTTGGCGACGTTTGGCGATGAGGCTAGCTAGCACAAGCATGTTCAAACCCCAAACATGGATGAGCAATGGGCAAAAGATGACAAAAGACATTTCAATGACCTCTCCTCCTCAGTGTCCCCAAAAAAGCATGTGTTCACTAAGAAATCACCTAATCATCCCATTTGTGGACTGGACAAATGTCTCTCTCGGCTCGACCGGGGGCCAACTTGACACCGGCGAAATCCACCACTCGGTCTCGCTGGCGTGATGTCTGAGGATTGCCAAATAGTTTGGAGCAAGGTGCAAAGCAGAGGGAAGAACTTTCGGGTGGCCATGTTTGAAGGTGTTGGGGGGTTTTCAGTGTGTTTTGCGTTGGAAAGGCAGGTGATTCTTTTGAGCATTCAGATCATTCAGGAAGCCTCATTTGCTGGCACAACACCAGATGGGTGTGTCTAGGGCTGTTTTTTTGCACTGCAAGACACTTCTATATATAGCAGGAAGATGACCTCCTGGCCTGGCAGTGGAGAAGTCCCGAATGTTTCTGAGAAATACTCGAGATTTTCTCCCAATAAAGCTTGGCCCTCCTTGTAGCCACCAGGCTGTTCCGGAACAGCCGGTAGCAAATCAGCTTGTTGTAGGACGAGTGGGAAGAGAATTGGAGATTCCGCAGTGCTGGCAAGAAGCCAAGGGGTATTTGATGTCGGTCCGAATACAGTATCTGAGTGATTGTGACAGGGAGAATGTGATCTTTTGATTGATGCTGACATTTGCTGTTTCACTGAGTTGTGCTGTGTGAACATAGACAGCACACGGGTGACAAAGGTTGACACATGTTGATCACTCATCTCTTGAGCGCGACAACTCCCTCATCCAGCGCTCTTCCAATCTTTCTAACACCACTGGATGACTTTTTTGACCGGTGACCCGTGCTCCGTGTTGACCGGTGACATGTCAGCGATGTAACAGATGTCACTTCTGGTCAACTCCACAGGGCTCAACAGAGGTGGAGGGTCGCATTCGCATGGGAAGTCTGAGTAGACTGGAAGTGCGAGGGAAGCTTCACTGGAAAACATATATAGCTGTTCTTTGTGTTGCTTCTTGGTTGTTTGTGACGGTACGGTTGTTTTATGTTGTTCTGATCTGTGAATCTATAGGTCAGATGGTGACAAAAACGGGCCTTGAGAAAAAGGGCCAGGAAGATCAGGAAGAGAGACACCTCAGAGATTTGAGGATCAGTTCTTGGGAGAACAAAAACTAAAAACAGAACTGATGGATTTCTGGGCCCGATGGATCTTGGGAGCCAACTGCGCCGTGGGAGCAGACTCCGTTGGGCCTTGACGACAGGCCCTTCAACCCGGACGGTTCTGGATCGCTGAAGGCCGTGAAGATCAGAGGACGGGCCTCGCGGATTCACAGCGCGATGCATTGGCTGGGACGTTGCCGAGGCCATTTGGGCCAACTCAAGCTTTGGCCCAACTTCTGACACAAATCTATTCCAATCTCATCCTAAATTCTTCCAGAAGGCCTAAGGACCACAGGATGTTTCACCATGTTTCAGGTCACCGGATCTTTCATCCGAAACAGGTCTGCTTTGTTTCGTCGAATTTTGGTGTTGAGATTGACCCGATTGATCTGAGTTTGATCCTGGTCAGTGCCTGAGCCGGACAGCCGGTTCCGTGAGCCGGACAGCCAGTCAGTGATCCAGACTACTCCGTGATCCAGACTCCTTTGTTGATCGGATACGACGTGACGTACCAGTCAACTTCTCGCGATGTAACTGGGCCTTCGATGGCCTTTGAGTCTTCTAGAGTCCTTATATCATAGGATTCCTATAGGATTCCTTCTTCGGGTCCGAAAAAGCTGAAGACATCGGAGTTTGGCCAGTCTACTCTCAGTCCAGAAGCTTGGCTGGGCTGGTGTCCACGAAGTTGAGAGAGCAAAAGAGGCCAGTCCAGCGTCGCTTGCAAATCGCACAGATCGAAGGCACGAGGAGTTGACCGAAGGCACGTCGAACGTCAAAGAGCAAGAAGAAGACGATCAAGAAGTTGTGGCGCCCTTAGGGCTGGCCCTTGGGGCTTGAAACAGGGCCGTGCAAGTTTTTTAATCCCGGTAGGCCGGTAGGAGTAAACCAACCCTCCATTTCCATCTACTTGCTCAAGGGTAAAAATGCAATCTAATGATTTGTGAATCGATAGTATACCCGATATACAGAATTTCACATTCTGCATGCCCCTTCAACATCCTTCAACCAGTTCCGGATGAACATCACGCTCTTCGGATGCCGAGGTGTGTTGAAGCTTGGCTCTTCCGAAGGAGACGTCGCCAAGTGCCACGTGACGTACCATTCTTTGTAGCTCGGCGGTCGCACCGAAACCGAACGGAGACGCGACCGAAGGACCGGGGACGTGGCGATGGGGGTTCTGGATGGTTCTTCTTGGGGAGGAACAGGCCGACTGGGCCGGAGCTGGCTGGAAGCAAGTGGACAGATGAAGTCAGCAGGTAATTATAGATTGATGAAAGGGGGGAGGGTTTGGTACTAGGGCTGGTGGCAGGTGTTTGAAGCACTCGGATATGACAACCAGGTCAAAGCGCCTGAACTCTTCAAATTGCCTGAAACCCTTCCGGCTTGTTTGGGTTCCCCTAAATCTGACCAATTTTTGTGGATCCAGCCGTTCCATTTCTGGGCCCTGACAGCCCAGGTAGCTTTAGGCAGAAACGATGTCGGCCATCATGGCACCGGAGGCATGGCCGTGGAGTGTTCAGCATGGTGAAGGAAGCGACCGTGAGTGGTTTACAGGAAAAATCTCAATTTTGAGAAGTTTGTTGGAGAAAGGGGGTCTCAAAGTGTTTTTGTTTAGTTGCTTGGTTAAACAAAAATACACTGCCTAACTGTGTCACGGTCGACCCTTTTTTCTCAGAATTCTATCTTCGAGACTCCTCCCCCTGCTGGGGATCGCCCATGGGGATCTTCCAACATATAGTGAGATCAGATCTTGTCACCTTCTCGTCCCTCATCTCCGGTCTTCTCCGTCGAACTCCCTCTGGAGAGTCACGTCCCAGGGCGAGCCGGAGGATCGCCTTCCACGGAGCTCGCCCTTCGTGGGCGCCTTGCGCCATGCGCCCAAGCGCTCCCAGGCGCGGGTGGAGGGGTGTCCGGAGGTGGGGTTTGCGTGTGGTGTGGCCGTTGGGACCGTGTTGGAGGGTCTTCACTGTGTGAAGGTGTGGAGGCCTCGGCAGTCGATGTTGGGTGCGAGTTTGGTACTGTGAGGCTCTGATGAGGTGGTCGATGTATTTAAAAGGATGTCACTCAAGAGATGTCTTTTTGAGGAAACTGCAGCTTGACGTCTTTCAGCGTTGTTTTTTTCCATCCAAACATAAACAGACCTTTTCTGAAGAAAGATTGGTTTTGGCCGGCCAAGTGACCTTTGGAACCAGGGGATTGCCCCCAGCAAGAAACCACCAGAAACGTCTCACTGGCCTTTCATAGAGAGCTGTGGAGAGGCGAAGGGGCAGGGTGCTCTTGAGTCTTGCCTTCGGATGATAGGGTAATGATTTTCTCCACCCGAGCTTCGGTGGAATATGGCAGAGGAAATCATGAAGTTCAACACCCAATTGAGGAGATAGTTTGCTTTTCTGCTACCATCGTGAAGCAAAAAGGCAAGTTTTTTTGATCTTGGTGGCTAGCGGCCAGCCATTTGGCCAATGCATTAATCGATGAACATGTCTCTTTTGCTGCGCTCCTCTCCGGTCGCTACAACGCCTACATAAGTGCCGCCGTGCCAAGATCCTTCTTTTGGGCCAACTGGACCGACTGCTACGACGACGTATTCCGGAGCTGGCAGAGCTAGGCGGGTCAGAGCTATGGGATGCTGATTGTCCAACCAAAGCACCCGAAAGCTTTATTGCATCGTTTCAACATGTTTCAACTCTAATTTAACAATTTCTCAATGTTCATCGTTTTTTGGGAGGATGCCACGGTGGAGGTTTGTGTGACCAGAGCAACGTTGGAGATGAGGAGGTTTGCAGGATGTTGAGGTCGCACAAGCAGCGCTATTGGATCTCCACATCCGTTCCATGTCGCAAGCGTCGTCCCAGGTGCGCGGCTGGCTTATAAATACTATATGGGAGAAAACCGTAGGAGATAGTGAATTATGAGTCCATTGTGGTCGTAAGAGGTGCGCTGTTCGAATCAGACATTCAAGGACACTCAGAGTGTCCATGAGTGTCCATGAGTGACTGGCTTGCGGTTTTCTCGTGAGTGTCCTTGAGCGTGCAGACTTAAGAAGAAGAGGTGTTGAGAGGAGCCGCATGTAAGAAGATGAAGAGTTTATAAGAAGAGGAAGGCCTAAGACTCCAAGATGGAGAAACATCAGGTTATATAAGAAGAAGGCATGTGTTTTAACACGGAAGAAGAAGAAGAAGAAGGGTTAACAAGAAGAGCAAGGCTTTTGCAAGAGAAGGAATCCTCAACAAGAAGGAAAAGAAAAAAGAGAAAACAATAAAAGAAGAAACAAACGGGTTGACAAGAATAGCAAAGAAGTAACAACAGGGTTATGAATAAGAGAAGGAAACCTCAAGAAGAAGCAAAAGAACATAGAAAGATACACTCAAGGACACTCTACGACATTCTTGAGTGTCCCTGAGTGTCCATGAGCCCCAAAGGATCATCTATATAGTCTGTCTTTTTGCAGAATGATGGCAAGAGTCTTTCGGCGCACCAGCATTTAGTAGTTTTGCTATATAACCTCGCTCGTCGGACTGTCACGCGTCGACGGTATGGACGACACTCTGGTCGTGGCCATACATCAGAAACCCCACATGCACAGTAATTTTGCTATTATAATACAGTATATAATACTTAACGTCAACGTTTTCATTTAGTGTGCCCTCCAAGGGTCCGAGTATAATCTCTTGAGACTTCGACTGCATTTTTGAGACTTCGAACCCAGGTGAAGACCAGGAGCCTCCGGGGTGAGGGATAAGGGATTCGGGAGACCAGATTTCCAGCAGACCCAGCATCATCAACCTGTAATCGTTGTTCATTCCTTGTTCTCATGTGAAAGTTACTTGTCCAAAAGAGATGTATTCGGAGACACATATTCACCTGAATGACAAGTTGAGGCTGAAAGCCCAGTGGAAGGGCTAGTTTTATCATGTTTTCTGTAGGCTTGAGGTGGCTCAAGGCTCATGGCAGAGTGTTTCCTTCAAGGTTTTGGAAGCGAAAAGTGATCGTCGTCTAAAAGCAAACTCAGACGTGGACGGTGACGCTTTGAAAGACCACTCTCCTTCAAAACCAACAGATTGTGTTCATGTGTTGTTTACTTCTACTAGATCTCCCGTGGTGTACAGGCTCCGCATCGATTCCCCTTTGCTGGTGGGGTGATCTTTGCAGGGGGGTTGAGGTGTCCCATCGACTAGCAAATGACATCGATGTTCTTTGCGGAAGCCTTCCTCAAGCTTCTCAGGTATTCGGAGGAGTTGAAGCCACCCTCGCTCTTCTCAGGCAGAAAGATCACGCTGATCCGTTGTGCAGGAGTCGCATGGCGATGCTTTCTCTTCAATAGAGAGGCGCGGAGCTGGTTTGTTTGAACTTGGAGATCTATCAGCCAGAAACATTGGGCAACTGTTGGGAGTTGAAGTTTTCTTAGTATTTCTTAGGTATTTGGAAGTGATGGTACATGATGGTTCTCACCAGTGGTGACCTGTTTATTGTCGGGTGCTGGCATAGAAGTCTTCGCGCACGGGAGCAGGGCTTGATGGGCTTGTCCGTGGGTCCGTTCTTGCGCGAGCGTTCAAGGGATCCGAGAGGCCTCGGGATGCCCGTCTGACGGGCCGAACGACGCAAAACGCACGGTTTGCCCAGTTGCAGATCAGATTCCAACGTTTAATTTTTTGGTATGCTATGTCTTTTTAGATGAATGGCTTTATGAGGTGGGCCTGGTGATAGACCCACTTCATAGATGAACATAGAGTCGTGAGTCGGTTGGATATTGTATAAATTATATAATATAACAAAATATATTGATACTCAAGAAGATGGTCGACATTTCCCTCAACATGCGCCGCTTGACCTGCGGGACTGGTGCGAGAAGAAACATAGCTTTTATGGACCCTTTCGCCCTGGAGCTTGAGAAGGTATACATAAATTAATACAAGAAACCACAAGGTGTGCTTAATGATTAAGCCCTAAACACCTCTAAGGGATTCTAAGGGGCTATTTATAGACACCCCGAACGGAGGCTCAAAAGAAATCTGCGGTTCTTTTTCCCCGGGAGAAAATGGTGCTTTTTGAGCCGTGGTCATCCATGACGACTTCACATGTTCATGAAACAGACGGCAAGACTTCCAGATTCGGCTGGCTTTCAAGATGGGATATGCGACGAAATTGGAATGAGGGTTGAAGGATGTAAATGGTCGACCATCTCCAAATCCCAGACCTTTCACATTCAAGCAAACCCGAACAGATTCGATACTCCTGGTGTTAGCGGACAACATGGCTGGCTGCCACTGCTGGCTGCCACTGCCCTGGAGACTATCCATCCCACATCTTCCAGCCATTTCCTTCCTGTACACCAACGGCCCAGCCGGAGTTCTGCCCACCTTCCTCGCCCAGTTCGGAGAAGCTCCCCTCTTCCTCGCCGCGCCGAGACCCAGCTGACACGACTCGTCCAGACACCGAAGCTTCGCGTGAGCTGAAACAGACTGGTGAGCTGAACACATCACCTGTGGTCGAAAGGATGGCATGGGTCGAAAGGAGGACTTTCTAATCAGTACTTTCATGTACTTTCCTTCTATATCATTGCAGGAAGGCCATCCATTTCATTCCATGAACGTGTTTGGACCGAGTGTACTTCTGAATGGGCGCTTCTTGTTCGCGCTGAGAAGGGAGCGCTTGCTCAGCTCTCCGTGGCGTTCGGTGCCGTGGGCTTGTTTGGGGCTTCAGACGTTCGATATACTGTATTTTAATAGGGAGACCCCTCAGTTCGACCTCTGGGACCCTCAGAAACGCATCTATAGAATCCATTGGTTGGGAGTTCCCCCACTAAAATCCACACATCCTTTCCCATCGTTTCCCATCTCGTCTGGGCATCTTATCGAGGTACGTGGGCTTTCAGCGGCACGCGCCACCCTCCTCACCGGTGCTGAGCTTCACGGTGGGGCACTCGCCGCAAACGCGTCGGCCTGCGGCGGCGGAACCGGTGCCGTGGGCTCTCTGGTGCCGTGGGCTGTTGGGGATTGGAAAAGCCTACAGGTCCAGTCTAGAGTCTAAATGTTGAAACCTGACACCAAAACCTAATAGCGATGGCCTCCAGCCTAGTAGCGATTGGCCTCCAACCTTTTTTTGCGATGGCCTGCAACCTAAGAGCGATGGCCTCCAACCTGGTCCTGAAAACCAAATTTTGAGTAGTGGATCTACATCGCAAAATGAAGTCCAACTGACCTCGATGTTGGATGAGTTTTGGACTACCTGAAGGGGTTGAAGGGATGGTGCCGGTGGGTCTCCTCTTGTCGTTCAACTGGAAGATTCACTTAGTTTGGAGAGCGGGCCAAGATCTTCAGAAGTCTCGCCAACCCAAAACCACAACTGATCCTCCTGCAGAATAAACATGGACTCTGAAGACCAGTGGGTGCAATAAGAATAACCTTATCATAGTGGGCTAGCAGTTAGTATTCTCAAATTCAAGACATGCAGTTAGAATATTCCAAATATGTCCAAATCACATTAGGGTGGGTGGGAAAAACTTTTAGTTTGAATATTTTGCAGAGTTAGAATGCTGCATGCAAGCCAGTGGATCAAGAAGCAGCCTTTTTCGTAAAAACCTCGATGTCTTTGTAGTAACTAAGGGCAGCAGCTCTTCTCCCAGCATCCTCAAACCAAAATTCATAGGGATGGGAAAAGCACTCCATGGCCATCAAACTAGATTCGGGTATCCAGCTAGAGTGCTCTTTGGCCAAATGTTACGGAATTGCATAGCATTGCATGTACCAACGTTAAATTGGCTTATCAATAGTCTGTTTGCATACATGTATTCTAGTTGCACATGATTTTCCAAAATCTGACCCACCCTTTCGACATACACATCTTAGGATTCTATGTGACAAGGCCGCTATTCTACAGGAATTCATTTTTGCAGGGGGTTATCTTGCATTTGTTTAATGTATGCTGTATCCCAGCAACTTGGCTCAGGTCAGATCATGCCATTTTTGCCACCAAACCTGGTCTCCGTGGTCATCCCTCCCTTACAAGTCCCAAGAAACCCAGGTAAAGACACGGCACTTGCAGCGGAGGCCTCGCCGGGACGTGACGCCCTTGGCATCTCCAAAGGCACTGAGAACAGGGCCACACTGGGGAGCATCGAGAATCGAGACACAGTCGTCACAGGCATGGAAAATGCAGGAAGAAGTGACTGGATGCTGTAAATTTCCATGATATTTTGGAGCTGAAGGGTTGTTGGAACTATACTGGCAGCCTCACTGTGTTTCTTCAAATGCACTGCTTTAAAACATTGGGAAAACATGAAGAAGAAGAGATTGTTGTGTTTCTGTGCTCCGTTTCGTGGGGGTGCTTCATGCAACATGCTCGCATCATTTCATATATATATATATGAACTGACAAACCAAACTCGCTCTTTTGTTCTGCGCACTTTAGAATCTCATAGTTAAATCGAGAGCTCTTGGGCACAAACGTCAAAAGATTCTCACCAAGGTGTGTGGGCCCTGTGCGGGAAAAGCGACCTCAAGAGAACCAAAGAGCCCAATATGGAGGGACACTTAAGTTCGATTCTAATTAAACTTAATGACTAATAGCTTCTTGTTACTACTAGTAAGGCACTTGTTACGAACGTAGCGATGCACGAAGCTTCCGTTCGTAGCGAACAGCCTGTTCCGAGCGGTCGGGTCGAGCGAGCGCTCGGCCGAGCGCTCGGCCAATTTCCCCAGCCACCCGCCCAACAAGGAGGTGATTTTCCGATCGGCCACGGGGTCGGGAAAAGGAGAACAGTTGGGAAAAAGGAGAACGGTTATAGATGTTATAGTTGATGTTATAGAAAAAGACTTAAAGAGAGCGAGCACCACTACCGACCCTGTGGCTAAAACAAGTTTAATTTGAGACATCCGGCCTCATCTGGCCTTCAGCAGAGTGTGCATTTTGGACGCCCTTCATATACTTGACATCTCCCAACGGCCAGCAACTTGAAGCCCCCGAAATGACAAAAAGTCATGCATGCCTGTTGTTGCCTGTTGATAAAGAAGACATCTTACTTAAGACTCCCAAACCAGGCTTGGGTCTTACACTCTTGACTCATTTGGGTTCTGAACTCATCATGACCCGATGCTGACGGAGAGGAACCTCTTGGAGGGAGGAGCCAATCAAATGGAGCCCGGGGACTGGCATTGCAGGGACTGGCACCGTGTTCAGGCCTTCCGGAGCTGGATTTGAAGGACTGAGATGGCTTTCCATGGATGAAGAAACAGGCAGATGGAAGATGGAAGACCATTTTCAGTTTTTTTTCTACACAACTGTATATGCCTCTTTTGAGATCTGTTGTATGCTTGTGTTTGGTATAGTTACTGCATGTGAGTTGCTGCGTGTGAGTAGGCAGTCCGCATGGCAGTCCGCTGTGTCCAGGCCTTCACTGGTACAGTCCGCAAAAAGCCCTTGTAGTTAACGGGAATCATCCGTGAGAAACTGGGTGAAATGATGTGAAATGCTCTAAACTGGTCGAATCTCTTTCGATTCCGGTCGATCTCTTCCTCTCGGAGATCGCTGCGGCTCGGAGACTCTCCGCCACCGTAGAAACATGGCTTATGTCCTCCTCGATGTTGGCGCCAACGCCAATGTATGGTGCGAGCCCCAATCCCTTCGCGCGCTCAACTCTTGCTTAGGAGGTTTTGCCCGGAGAGCTACCAGAAGAGGCCGGGGAAGGATTCGCCCGGTGTTGACACCCGAAGCGACGGCGCAAGCTGCTCGATCCCGCGACGGTGAAGGGGTCCGTTGGGATGAAGGACGACGGTGAACTCCTCACCGGGGACTTGGAGGTGAGAGCAAGCTGAGCAAGCTGAGTTGAGAGAACTTATTGGATTTCCCTGGCATCAGACCTCATCAAACAAATGTCATGTATACCGAATCAAACCCTCCAGCCGGTTCTGCTGGCCTCATGGAGGTGAGGTCATATATAGAAAGTTGATGGAAGTTGTTTACAGGAGGGTTGGGGGCAGAAGAAGGATAACAAAGGAATCGGACCTCATTAAACCGTACTTGGAAGGCCTGGGAAGGGCCATTGCAAGGAAGGTTTGGAAGGTAGTATCTTTTGATCGACAATTGCTGCCGAAGTTATGTCAAGATCTGTAACCACCAGGCTGGAGGTGCAGATATGTGCAGGTGGTGCTACCATCAGAGGCGAAGACCCCTCAAATCCTTCCAAAACGTCTTTTTGCTTCGACCCATCTCATGCCCATCTGATCGCTATCAACCCAGCATTGCCCCCCCCACATCCGCCCAGCGTCAAACGGGCAGAGCTCCCTCAAATGAGTAAGGGCAGATTTTTCTGAGGTGTCAACCCCAAGGCCCAAAACCATCCAAGAGACGTTGAGAGACCTAAACCAGGACCCCCTTATATAATAGCGGTAGCCATGGGGCCATAGGGCTGTTCAACCTCTCCAAAACCATCCACAACCGCTTGAGCCATGGGCACCGCGACCCGCGGTTTGGCGCGGTCTGTCGCGAATCGGACCGCTGCTTCCAGCAGCGAGGTCTGGACTGAAGTGATGCGCTTGGCCTTGGATGTCCCTGAGCTGGCAGCCTTTTCCCGAGCCACCTGGCGAGCAAGCGCGAGCCAGCGAAAAGCAGGCAGTGTGTGGGGCTTGCATGTTTGAGGACGAGCAACACGACACAATATGTTTAAATAGATGCAGAAGAAACTGGAATGTTTCGAGAAATGACTGCCACTATCCTATGATCTTAAAGTTTGTATAAGTTTGTCTTTCCCCAGCTGCTTCGGTCATCATTTGGTAAAGACTTTCGAGACTGAGAGATCCAAGGCAACAGGTCTCGACAGTCGTTTGATGGCACTTGCCAGTTACAAGCAGGCAGATACCAACAGGATCAAAACAGTCTCGACATGCCATTCCAGTTGGATCCTGTTACAAGCAGGTCTCGACAGTTGTTTGATCAAAACAACTTCCTGTTAGAATATCTAGTAGGATCCCCATCCCGAACCCGATACCTGAGGTGAGCATGGGCTTTCACAAGGTGTGCATGGCTTGGCGTGTGCGAATGTGCGGCGATGGAGCTAAGAGATGGATAACCAAAACTGCAGGTGGTTGTCCCCCACGGTGGATGGAGTGATCTTGCACCCCACAGATGTCTAGACTCTAGACCCTTGATATTACTCTATAGCTGTTTATGGAATGAACAAACGCCTGAGATTCCGACGGGCTGGTCCAATCAAAGCGGTGGAGACAGGTTGCGATTAGGCGCCATATTCCAAGGGGGTGCTTCCAAATGCATCTGGGAACGAGACACCATAAGACACCCACCTGTTGATCAGTGGATGTTCAACAATTCCAAGAGAAATCCCCAAACATCCAAAAGATTCCAAGCCTGATGTCACTTTCTCAATTTGCCAAGAAAAGAGGGTGTACACGACCGAAGGTAACTACTATCCTTTCTTGGACTGGAAAAGCATGGTTCTAGACCTCAGAATCTACCATCGCCCACTCTGAAAATCGTGGCTTCGGCTTCTAGTTTCAATGCCATCAAGGTGCCTGAAGGATCCCTGAGAGGACAAAACAGACATAAACAGACCAATTGCACCAGCTTTAAGATGGATGAGAATGGCATTGTAGCATTTGTTTTGCTCTGTGTGTTCGAGATGTGATGCCTTACTTTCTGTAGTGATCTGCAGTGGAACCTTCCCCCAAAAAATACTGATCTCCTCAGTTCAACACTGACTCTTCAGGTGGTCTCCTCGCCAGATGTGTGGTGCCAGCGTGTGGTACGACTGCCTCCAAGGCATCGCGTGATGGCGGGGTGAGACTTGGCTGTGGCCAATTAACATCCAGTCCAGCATGGGCCCAGCACATGCATGGGTCCGAGACACTCCACGGGACTGCAATATATGCCGCCCCATTGACCCCTTTTTACATACTACCACCCCAATGGGCTCATATTCCAGTCCCATGGGTTGCGTTTGGGTAGGCGTCTATTTTCTCGCGTTTGAGACGGCTTCGATACATGTTTGGCATGTTGGGAGTGGTACACTCCCTGTTCCAAACATCATGCAAGTGGACAAGAGTGGACCAGCACCTGTAAATTTGGTCTTTGGATTTCAATGTTCATCGGTGGCATGGGGGCCATGTCATCACCAAGATACTGATAAGGATACCTTAGGATCCAGACACCCGGATGTCTTAGAAGTCACCAGTATATTGTGCTATATTGCACAAGTCACTTGGTGATTTGAGATTTCCTGATTTGTCGAGGTGTGCATCAACATTATAGGCTCAAACGAGGCACCTCGCGTGAGATGAAAACGCATAACAACGTACCGACGCGTCGGCCTGCCTTTGTGAGCCGATGGAGGGCTTCTTTGCGTTCACATCCTGAGAATCATAGCCATTCCAATCGAGAAGGGCCGCATCACATACCCTCTGCTCCGTTCGTAGCTTCTTGTTACTACTATAGTAAGGCACCTGTTACTACTAGCGTGGCACTTGTTTCTAATAGCTTCACAGAACAGAACCGAAATGAACGTAACTACTGATCCCCGACCAGTACCATCCAGCCATGTTCGCCACCACGTTCGCCACCGGGCCATGCGCCATCACCACTCGCTGCCAGTTGCTTGGAAAACTTTGCCCCTCAACTGGATCGCTGGCCGGGAAGCCTTGGACACGCGCCGCATCGGGCCGAATCGGGCATGCATGTAGGTGCACATGGTGGGTTGCTTCATGTTGCACACTGTGTGTGCAGGGCATTACTACTAGTAACAAGTGCATCGCTACTAGTTGCTTCTTGTTACTAGTAGCGATGCCCTTTGCTACTAGGAGCGACGCACTTGTTATTATACATGTATATATAATTATATATATAGTAGCTTAAGTATATAGCTACTAGTAGTGTGTCTTGATGTGTCTTGGGAAAAGAACTCCACCGAACTGGTCCCAAAACACCGAACGAGTTCGGTATCATCATCTGAGTGAGAAAAACTTGGCAGGTCAAGACATTCTGTGGACGTCAACCCTTTGCTGGTTGGGCCAAAACCGGGATTTGTATGGATTTGTGTTGTTCTTTTGTTCGCGCGTGGTAGTAAGGGATGTCATGTCCTAATGACTCACTGCTGGGTGTGCCATGGCTCGCCACGACTGCTTCCTATCACTCGCTCCCACTATTGACCAGTGGTCTGAGGGGTCTCAAGGGGTCTGAAGAGCGAGGAAGACCAGGCCAAACGAAGAGTTTGGGAGACCTGGGTGAGACAGGTGAGACAGTTGTCTCCGGGAATGGATCTGGGTGAGTGTCATCCTGGATACCATGTGCTAGTCCCATGAGATTATTTTAGAGAGTTGGATGATGTTTTCTATGTCAAGCCGATGTGTATATGTCATCTGAAACATATACAGAAAATTGATGAACATTGTATTACATTGGGTTTGAAGATCATTGGTCCGACCCTTTTCAAGATGATCCTTCTTTTGGCCCAGGCTTGCTGCCTGGACGAATGCGAAGAAATTGGTGCCCGGACAAAGGAGCTGGAGATAGCTTTCCAGACTGGGAGAAAAACGACCCACCCAAAACGGGGCTATCCGAAAAGTGTAGAAGACAACGAGACGACATGAGACGACGCTGTTTGTTTTATGTTTTTTTCGGTATATGAGCCTGATGTCCTGGACCTTCAATTGGGAAGGGTGGCAGGTGACGGCTCCGTGGTCCCACTGCGAAAAACCCCTGCTCCGTGAGGTCGGGCCCGTCCAGATTCATAGAAAAAGATGATGGGACAGGTCACGTTACGTGTTGTTTTTTGTTTCGATGTTTTTAGGGACATGACATGTGCTTTAATTAAAGATCTTTTTAGATCTGATCCGTTCGAGATCCAAACAGGACATGTGTTTTTGAGAGTCGAAGTCTTCGAAGAATCCATGTCACAAAAAAATCACAACGATCCCGATCCTCTCGGTTTTGTCGTGTGGAGGGGATGGCTTCAACAGGTGAAGCAGTGGATGGCTGGCCTTTCGTCCTGATGCAGTCAACACTCCTCGAACGAAGCGATACCCTTGTCAGGTGCAGTCAACAGCTTCTCCGCGCCAAAAGTTAACATGCTTGATGTCTCGGAGGTGTTTGTAGCCTCCTCATTGAGGTCATGTGTGGTCATGTAATTGGAGACATCTTGCGGTCAATTGGAACGTTCCTCAAATCAATGTCCATGTGATCATGTGACAGATAATTAGTCAAGTCGGTGCAGGACACCCTTTCGTGGATCCTAAAAGTTTCCTGAGGAAAGTCGGCCGATCCAATTGAAGAACCCTTGTCGAAGTCGACCAGCTCTTGGTTTCGCTGCAAAGCCATTGGCCCCGAACTTGCTCAAGGACCAATCGATGGTGCTTGACCAGTTTGCTTACAGATCTGGTGTACGTTGATCTCGGAACCCAAGACCGGAACTGAAGTAGATGGCTCAAATACCGCAGGACCGACCAGTTGACCACCGAACGGTTTGTGAAACGGACTACTAGGGAGGTCAAGCTATATCGGTTTCACAAACCCGGCTCCGGAACCCGTGCAGCGGCGGTGACCTCCAGCGTTCTCCGACCTCGTGCACAGCTCCGAGGTACTTCCACGGTCGAACCAGCTGCTGGAGCAAGTGAACCAACGTGCGCCGCATTTACCGATCGAGGCAGCGGGTGGAGCAGGTGTTTTTGACGGTAAGAAGCTTTGAGGCGGGGGGAAAGAGACATATAGAGAAATGGAAGTTGATGTTCGAAGATCCGTGTGGCAGAAGCATGGTTCCAGAGTCCTTCGAGTGTTCTTCTGCAGAACAACCACGCCTTCGCGGAAAAACCTCCATGAGCTTCGGCACCCTCGGGCTCAGCATCGAACACTTCGGCCATCGGACGCTTCGAACCGTCTGAGACGTGAACCGTGGGTCCTTGGTCCGGGTCCTGCGGCTCGGAGGGTGGGGAAGAAACCTCCACCAACTCGTGTCTCAACAGTCGAACCGTTAGGACTGAGAAGCTTGGGGGGTTTAACCAGGCACGCCTTTCAGCACACAAATATGAAACAAAAAGACAAACATCATACAGTAGTAGAGGTGGGTCTTCTTCGGTGGGGGTGGGGCAAAAAGTCACACATGACTTGCATGCAGAGTGTTTTGCAGGGTTCTAAACATTTTGGAGATGTTCAATCAGCCTGGCTCAATCATATTCAATCTTATACTATACATGCACGTGCATTATATTGTCATGAATTCTATAGTTTTTACAGTATTTAGTTGAAAAACCCTTGGTATGCATAATATGTGTTTTGTAGATTCGGGTCAAAACCTATATAAACCCGGGTCCTGAGGGCTCAAAGTTGGGGCTTGGGGGGG